CAATCCGACAGTTTTTCCGTGTTCTCATGAATCCAGTTGATCGCTTCCCACTCGATCTGTACGCACCGATGTTTTTATGCGACGTGATTTGCTTCTTAATCGTCATCTTCGGTTATTCTGGATTCGGAGTGAGTTTGCCATATTATTTCTGCGCACAAATACATCATCGACATCGAATTATTGACGAGTGCGTATGATCATTCGTGGTCAGATGAGAGTTTAGATGAGAGTATTCAAGAATCGAAGACCTCAGTTGATGAACTCTGATAATATTTGACAGGCTGATGGCAGTAGTGAAGGTGGAGTTGCGTCGTATTTTGAGGAGAACAAAGTGCCTGGAACGCTCGTCTCGATGCTCATCTTCCAATTTGTGCTCATCATACTCGATCGTGCGATTTTCCTGCGCAAATTTCTCTTCGCTAAGATTGTTTTCCAGGTGAATCTCCTGTCGAGTAGTCTCGTTTTTAGACACTTGAAGGTTTTCTTCGAAAAGACAGCAAAATCGTATCTCCTCAAGAAAGCAAAATCGCTCGGCAAAATATATGTTTTTCTGAAAGTAGAGATTCTGAGCAATCGAATGGTGCAAAGAAATTCATATGTTACCGGGCAAATCTGAGGGTACCGGTACCCTGAAGGTTGTAACGCCTACAGTATTGTATTAATGTATACAATTGATCTATAATGATACAATGGATTTGAATGAGTGGCTCTGCGCTAATTGAGATGGCTTAAGTAAAATAGCTACATCTCCTCAAGAAAGCAAAATCACTCAGACAAAAATATGTTTTTCTGAATCTAGAGATCCTGCTGGATCGACAGGTGTACAAATATTCATATGTTACTGGGCAAACTTGTGGAGACGGTAGGCTCGAAGATGGCAGACTGCATTTCATTAAGAAAATAGCCATATCTCCTCAAGAAAGTAAATTCGCTCGGCAAAATATATGTTTCTCTGAAAGTAGAGTTTCTGAGCAATCGAATGCTGCAATGAAATTCATATGTTACGGGGCAAACCTGAGGGTACCAGTACCTTGAAGACTGTAACGCCTATAGTGCTATATTAATGTATACAATTGATCTATCGTGCTACAATGTGAATTGAGTGAGTGCCTCTGCGCTCTAGCAAAAAATGCATCCATATAATAGCACTGAAGTGAGTAAAATCCCGAAAGTCTTCTGCGAACAATGCAAATTTCAAAGAATCAATGTCTTAGCATGTTCAGATTCTGTCAGATGAATGCAACACTCTTTTGAAAATACAAACTCGCAGCTTCCCGATAAGGCAATGAAATCGTCTGTACTTAGGTGATCTCAATGAAATGTCAAAATCAATGACTTCTTCAATGAAGTTTTTGTTAGAATGTGAATGAACTAGCTGATTTCACAGATAGCATTGGTTATATTCGTACATGTTTGGTTGTTCTTCTTGCTACCGGCCGCTACGGACCGGATGTTTGTTTCGAGTTTTCCGTGTAAATTATTCTACTTCACCAAAGTCGTCTACTTTCTCATATCCGCTAAACAGGTACATTCCCTCTTATATCATCACTTCTCATTTTTACTTCATTCTCATATTTGATTCCTCAATCTGTCATTCCGTCATTGAATTGGTTTCCCTACAGCATAGCATATTCAATATAATTTTCTGATGAGTGCTAAAGCCTCAGCTATGATATCACTGCATTATGAGATTAATGGATGTTCCTTTGCATAATGACGCTATGATCTACTTGTACTGTAGTGATCACGAAAAGTTGCATGATGATATTTTTGGTTATTTGCAGATCCAGGCTGGATATCCCAAGCGAAGTTTGGGAAATATTATCACAAACTCCTATACATTGCTCAATTGGATCCTATACAAAGTGTGAGTGTAATGTTCGCCGTTTTCAGAGCGCATTCTCAAATTTCACGATTCATTCCTTAGTTGATGATTTAGGATTAGTAATGTGAGACTGGTGAGGAGCGATTATACCAGTTTTGACTATACAACGATCTGGGGTTTTATTTTTGAGATGCTGTCACAGTCAGAATTGTAGAAGTTGTTGTTTGAGCTTAGTTTATCATTGTAACGAATTGGAAATTCATTGTAAAAGTGTAATAAAATATTCAGATTCATGTTGATCCCATTTCTGTTCGAACTTCGTGCACTGATGGACTGGATGTGGATGGATACAGCGTTGGGTGTTGGCGACTGGTTCATGTTGAATGATATCTATTCACATGTGTCGATGATCAAATGTGAACGAAATATTGAAGAGGTTCAATCAACTTCGTTTCTATTGCCGACTTTCGCAGAGTCGTTGTGAACAATGAATTATTAATTGCTGAAAAGAGCTTCACTTATCTTGTTGGAACAGTGAATGTGTCGCTTGAAGTGAATGTGTCCGTCAATCGGTGAACTTGAATACGATGAGTCTAGAAGTCAGGCGATGAAAATCATTATTAATGTGTGATGAATTGCAGGATTATCCATCACCGAAAGGTGTCAAGAAACGGCCTATACTGAAGTATGGCTTAGGTGGTATACTGTTAACGGCAATTATTCTCGTCATTTGGTTTCCTTTGGTTATATTCTCGATGGCGAACACGGTTGGTACAAGAAGTTTACCGGTGGAATGTACTTGTAAGTTGACCATCGCTGGATTTGAGGTTACTCATTATGAATTTTATTCATTTATCGCTTTTCGTTTACAATTTCACTGAGTGCTTTGATTCTATATGCCTATGAATGAAGCAAATATCAAACTGATTCTTTTGATGTATGTTTCGAAGACCTGAATTTAACCTCATTACGGAAATCCCTCGATTTTGCACAAACACATTTATATGCAACTGAATTTGTCTCGGCGAAACTGAATCTAAAAACAGTTCATTAACAAAACAATGACACTTACAGCCGTTATTCAAGTCAACTGCACAATTGAGTGATATTCGAGAGTTAACCTATGAAGAGTATGATGCATTCCAATACACGTATCGAACTAGCAAGGTTTGTCGTTCTTTTTTTTCACTCACCCTGCCTGTTCACATCATCGTTTATAGTTTAACTAATAATACTGTGATATGATATGATATGACTTGGCTAATTATTTCAACTACTCATCACCTACGATGTTTTCTTTGCTCTGTCTTACGAGCAATTGTGATCAAATCGCTGGAATTTCGTTGTCTTAGCGATATTTTCGGTTATGCAAGCGATTTCGAAAGTTCCAAATCGAGCAGAATATGCATCAAATGCCCATTTGTGATGATCACAGCCTCAAATTCTACACTTGTTATGATGGATGGTATCAAAGCATTTATTCCTTTGAAAAATCTCATGTTCAGCAAGCGCAAGCGTATATGGCCGACTACACTAATTTGGATGTTGTACAAGCGAATATCAACGGGAATTCCTCGTCCCGTTGGAGTATATCACCACCGTCTAGGACTGCTCTCATCCAAGATCTTCGTGGCCATCAACGAATGAGTCTCAAGTTCGAATGGTACTTCAAAAGGTGTCAACCCTCATGTTCAGCCAATTACTAGTTATTGATCATCCCGCATAAATCAAACACTATTATTATGCAAAAATCAGTGATATTTCACTATTTTTTAGCATTTATTCTGATCAGTATTCATATTCCACTAATACGCTAATAATACACTATGAAACAGACATACAACTAAATTACCGCGATCGTCCACTGAACATTCATTAGTGAAGACTCAAGAAATATCAAAATGTGGAGGTGTAGTTGAGAAAGGAACAATAGAAGTAAATGGATGAAATAAATTGATGAATTCTATTGAAACCGTCGCCATTTCAAACCACTCATTTGTGTGTTTGTTTCAAGAGCACCCGACGAGAATCTGCAGTTCGGAACAGCAGAAGATTTTCGAGTGATTGACTTAGAGCCCGGCCATTCGATACGACTTGATCTTGCCGCAGTGATCGCTGGTGAATCCAAAAAGCAGATGTCAGTCAGTTTGAGTCAATCGCAAATTATTACTTCAGCTTAAAGCACCAGAAACTATCCTTAACATAGTTGCATCAGCGCTATACTTCATTAATGAACCAATTGATTTTTTGTGTCAACTTTTCAGACTGTGAGCTTACAGCTGGTTACTTTTTCGGTGAAAATCAATAGTTTCATAGGTCACAGTTCATAGTTTTATAGAAAGCAATAAGTCGCCTTAATATCATAACTGTGTTACCGGAACAAATTTAATTTGAATAGATCAAAAAGTTTTTTTGTATAGATCAAAAGAATTTATTGCATTTTTAATGTCATTTTCCGATAAGGTATTGTTTCCTTGGACCATCACTTTTTCGCATTCTTATGCTTCAATTGAAATCGTCAGCGATTTAATGTCGGTTGTACAGCTTACGCAGACACTTGAAATGGTGCATATTTTTCAGTCGAATACCCAACTTGTTAATACCGATGGTTGAGGTGCCCGGTGAAGGCAAATCCGATCACGTGCATGCATTGCTCAGCGTTCATCTGAAGGTAACTTGTCGAAAATCGAAGAAATAAATCGCGTTATTCATTGCGTTTTCGCGTTCGTAACACACTTCGGAATGTCCGTATGGTCTATCCAGGTTATAAACTAGGTTCCATCACGGCGAAACCGACATGAGCAGCGTTTTCAAGCATTTGGATTGTAAATCTGCGATAAAGAACTCTTAAAATATGGTGCAATGTGCACAATCGCACGTTTCTCGGTCTTCAATGTACTGCTTGCAGTGCATCAATGAAGTCACGATAATCAGCGAATGAAAATTACGCGTTGCTTTTTCGGAATTTTCAGTGCAGAAATTTGAACTTTCTAAATAATGTCTTCCGTATTTCAAGACATCAAATAATAGTTCGTTATTTCCAATTGATGAAGTATTCATTAATGTTAGTGGTCAGCATTGCAGAATGAGGAAGATCCGATTGAATCGACATTTTATGACGCGGTGTTACAATTGGATTCGATGGACGGAATTGAGTGGTGGAAACTTCGTATGGTTGATCCACAGTTCGATCCAATGATCCCGAAGGAGGAAATTATTCTCGATAATGTAATCATATACGCTTTCGTCGATAAGGTCAGTTTCATCACATCAAACTCAAAGAACACACTATTCTACCGCGAAATTTTCGAACTGTACTCTTCGATTCCTGTTCCTTCAGAAAAGTTTCGCTCGAAACCGAGTGGTTTACCAAGATCATCAATATTCTCTGGTTTATTTAATATATCACTCGAATGAACCATAGTAATTGATCAAATTTCATTCAGAGACCATACGATAGATTCATTCGGACAAAAATACCGACTTCTTCTCTAAGAGAAACAGTATTTTTCAGGTATTTCCGGTCACATTCAGCATAATAACTGGTGGAGGCATCCTCAGTCTTTACCTCTCAATGGTGCTTGTTTTTGGACGTTTAATGCGTAATATTGTGACCGGTTCTATGCAGGTGCTGTGGGCTATTCACATCGATTGTTCTTTTATTTTTAGTGTTTCAGTTCCCCACCTTATAATTGCCTGAATGTGACTAATATTCTAACAATACTAATACTAATATTCTTATATCATTTTATTC